TTACGACGTTAAGAGGAAATAATCATGCAAACAATTAACAAAGAGTACACCTCGGTCGGTTTGCGCGAAGTTGAGATGCTATCGAATTTACACATCGCTTCAGGCCACTTTGTATGTATTCAAAGTAATCAGACAATGTCTCAATATCAATATTCTTATTAATATACGTGTAACGAGTCGTCTGATCGTTATGCAATGTGTATAAATTGGCTATTAAAGGTAAGAACATGTGTTCACCTTAAGACACCTAATATATTAAGCATAATTATTTGAATTAACATAAATCCTTATTAAAAATATCTTTCTTGAAGTTTAAGTGGATGTTTCGTCGCTGACAGAAATTTGCACCTTAATGCGTCTTCTTTTGCATGCACGCGTATCTAATTTCTTATACATTCACAAGTGCTCGGATATACGTTACCGTATCTGGCGCTTGATTACGCATGTAATAGCCTACAAGAGAAAAAAGCGAATGACAAAAAGTGATTTTATTCCCGGCTTTGCTATTATGTAACAACGCGGAAGAATATTAATTTTTCTCGCGCTGAAAATAAATAAGAAAATTACTGTTCTTCGATAAAATTGTATTTTATCTCATTTTTCTTTATAATACATTATTTTTAACAAATAGTAAATTCTCTTTCTTTCTTTTTCTAATAAATATGAAATATTCGTCTTTGTAATTAAAATTTTCGAATTGGCATAATTAAATTCCCTTTGCATTTAAATTCACTAAAGGGTAATAATAACAAAGGAGGGATGAAAGTAAGACATGAAAATCCCCCGAGGTCCTCCCTCATCGTGAAAATTGCAATATTCCGAGCGACCCTATCTTTTCTACGATTACAGCCTTATGCGGGGGAGCGAAAATCCCGATCGAACTATTTAGCCGCCCTTGAAGAATCGTCCCTGGCCGAGGGGGGGGAGGGTGGAACGAAAGGGAGGAGAGAAAGGGCGTAGATATCCCTTCGAGCTTGCTCGAGGCAGAGCTGCGTGGTGGAGGCCCATTTGCGATGCGAGTAACTCCACACCCCCCGAGATATCTTCCACCTTCGGCGGGCTGCTTCCTATATATACATATATGCGCGCGGTGGGCGATGCACATGCAGCCAGACGCGGGCAGAACCTATCTGCCATGCACGATCGCTCGGTTGCATATAGGCTGAGACGCGCAGCACGTCATTACGCGCGCGGAAAGCAAAAAGACGAGCGCCTCACGGCCGGCCAATCGCCGTTCGCGTGCTAATGAATCTGAACCGGCCCGGCCAATGGTGGGGATCGCGTACACCGTTCCCGCTTATATGTGCCCGATGTAACCCTCGCAGCTACGTCGCGGAACCGGCCAAGGGTGTGGTGCCCTTCGATCGGGGACTCGAGTATCGCACGAGATCGGGGTTGAGCGCGAATTACCAGGGAGTTTTGCGGCGCGATTTTTCGGCCGATAATGTTCATCGTGTTAACCGCTCGGGGTCAAAATATTGATGTCATAATGCCGAGATGGCCTTAAAATCTGTTTATTAGATTCAAAACGGATAAGCTGAACCTATTTGTATCTACAAATATTTTTTATTATTAATTATTTTGGGAAATTATTTTTTACAAAGAAGCGGATATTTAAAAAGAGATGAAACACATTCCTCTTTCACTGTCTCTTAATGCATCTCGATTGCAATGATGGTAACCGATACATCGACCGGATACATGTAACCGGATGTAGCATCTCTTGTGCATTATAATAAAAAAAAATCAATGTTCTTCCTTCTAATGTTTCTTTCTTCTAATAATTAAGCATCAAACTTTTCCTACGTAGCTCTCGCTATACGCGAATCATGTGCAACGCACGAGCGTGGTCACTTAAAAATTAATTTGCATCATCAATAAGTAACTACGTGTCGTCCCCGAGGCCACCCTAGAGGTGTACGTAGTAAGTTGATGTCGGGGAACTCACGCGATTGCATGAATTTTTTACTACCTACCCCTATCCCATAAACATTATGCTCGCCCGTCGGCAATGTTACATAAGCAATAAACTTAAATTTCATCTAAACCTACACCGCATGTCCATGTACATACATCGAATCAGTCGCCGCCCACACATTCAGATATTCCTTTAAAAGCAATAATCAACATTACTCCGCCAGCATTCATTATATTCGCATCGCGAAACGAGGTCAATGAATCGAGGAGCGTTCTTTTCTTACGAGGGGACATTCGTTCCTACGTACTTCGATGTCTATGCGTCTTCAAAGGTACAAATTCAGACCGATATCACCCATGCGTGTTCTCGAGGTCTTTTCTGTCTGTTCGGCTGAACTGCCGCCTGCATACGAGACGCGCGCACGTATAGAAAGCCAATGGGAACAAGGATATCTGTGGAGTTTTGGGAATGCCGCCTGTATATACCCGCGACGTGACATATAAAGTCTCTGTACACGCGCGCGCGTAATACGTGTGTGTGCACGAACGCGCATTGCCGTGCACGGCACAACTCCGCTGCACGGCGCGACTCCGCGCTCGGTGCATGTGCATTGCCGCCGCGGTAGAGAGCGGCGCGGAGCGGTGCAGCGGAGTCGGAGAGGCGCTCAGGGCTATCATTATGGCGGCAGTAGACACTCCCTCCTTATCGCCGGTTTCCAGCACGAGTCCCAGACGAACGAACGAACGAACGAACGCTCGCTCGCAGCTTCGCTCGCTCGCCATCATTATGTTTTCCGCAGCGAGCAAGAACGCACAACGCTGAGAGAAAGCAAGAGAGAGAGAGAGAGAGAGAGAGAGAGAGAGAGAGAGAGAGAGAGAGAGAGAGAAAGAAAGAAAGAGAAAACGAGCACTGTATTTCCGTATACATGTCCTGCATGTGCATGTACATATACATCAAGCGCGCTGCAATGGAGACGAGCGCGTGCATGCACACGGGCGTGGATACCAACGCGGTCAGCATCGAGTCTCGCGCATATTCTCTCTCTCTTTCCCTCTCTTTCCCCCTTCTTTTTATTTCCGTAAATATACCTCCGCGAGGTCTCCGATGCTTCGCAGCCGATGCTTTGGAGAAAGGCACCCCTAAGCACCTAGATGAAAAGTGAACCGGACTGGTATCGTAAAGGAGAGGTCTTTAAATTTTGCAGCGTTTCGCTTGCCATCGAATAATGTAGCAATATCTTTTTACAGGAGGAAACGTGTTTACTTACATGAAAAAAAAAAAGAAAGGAGAGTTTCGCGGTAAGAAACTTCTACAGGTCTGTGTCTCGAAGAAGCGTTATTTCTTATGGTGCGGTGCACCGGTATCAATGTAATTTCCGATTCCAGAAAATACGAAGCGGCAAATCGTTCGCGACGGGCGGAAGAACCGCTATTCCCCGCGAAAGAGTAGCATGGCGGATAAGGAAGTACCGCCGATGTTGGCGCAGCGCATGAGATATGAATTAGATTCAGCCGTTTCAGGGCGGCTTATATGTGTCGCTTTCTTAAACTCTTTTTTTTTTCACGAATAAACAGAAATTACGACTCTGAAATTACACGAGCAGTAGCGGCGCACACTGCAGCGGTCGCGGCGACGCGACATGAACGGATCGCGCACACGGGTGTGGACCATAACGCGGTCACCATTGAGCCGTATGCGTTCCTTCATTTCCTTAAACACAGCTCGGCGAGCACTGATACTTTGTAATCGATAGTTGTGCGAAAGAGGCATAAGCATGTAGTAGAAACTGGACTGACCGGAATGGTCAGACCGCAGAAGCGCGGACGTCTGTCATTATTGCGAATAATAATGGTTGCTTAGCGTAGCGGTTTAGTTGTAACGCTGACGTTTGCTCTCTCGAGATTTAGTGAGAAAGCACGGCCTTTCGTAACTTCCAAAGTTATACGCTCTACATACCATTCGTGTGCAACAAATTTACTAAATAGATCACGTGGCTTTGAAAGGTAATTTTACGATTTTATGTAAATTGGGAACAAATTTGTTTTCAGTTTGAAAAAAAAAAAAACTATTTGTGAGATCACTTTTTCTATTGCGATAGAAAGAAAAATTCCGTTGCGGGAATGCATCGAGTTATCTCATAAATTGAAAAACAAACTAAGTACATCGCGCGATGGCGTCATCTAAATGATCAAGTATGTACCTTCGCGAAAACTGTACTTGTTTGTCGCCTATTCTTTCTTTTTTTTTTCAATTTCTACAAGGCGCTCTACACCTTACAGGCGTGTTTACATCGATAACGATATCAAGTCGAATCATCACGCGTCGATTGTCTTCCGGAAGAAATCGCCGAGTTTCACCGAAAGGATCGAGATAACGCCCGATCGCGGAACCACGCGCGCGAGTGCATACAGCGATTAAATACAACGCGATCATTATAATCCGAGATCAGATAATACCGAAGGCGATCGACTTCATGCGTGAAGATAACCGCTCGCCTGTTTTAGGTCGTTCCCGTTATCACGACACGATCTTCGAAGTTAATACGCCAGCGCGATTGATTCTAACGGCAATTTCGTTTCCCGAATGCGCATCCGCAGAGTCGATAGTACGCGATAATTATTGTGATTTATTTACTTCGCCACCTAAGCCTCAGCCTCGCTTCCCATCTTGTCGAATGCTCTTCCTATATCCGGGGTACAGTTAGCCTATTATTACATGTCTGATTATCAATCGCGCGCTGCCGATTATTTTTTTAAATGAGTCCACTCGCTTTATTGCTTTTAATACAATTAATGCCGATACGATCAGTGCATCAATAACTCTTGCTCAGACAAACAGATAATTAATCCTTTGCAATTTCCCTTTTGCGCGATAATTTTTATTATTGTACAATACATTTTACGGATTATTTCATTTATTAATTATTGTAAGGTATTATTTTCATAATGTAAGATATTTTCTACAAAATAATTTTGGTTTAAAATTTCAGATAACAATTCCTACAACAATGTGCAGCAAATTAAAGCAAATTTAGCCTTACATGATGTATTTATATCCCTTTGCGTGAGAGAATAATCCTTACCTTCTCTGACGAATCTCTCCCGTGTGGTCCTTGCGAAATGGCTTCTCGGAGTTGCTTCTGAAAAATTCAAGGATGTCCTTCGCAGTCAGGCAGACAACATAAACTCACAGGTATCCTCAAACAATCGGTTTTTAAAGCGACAATTATTGTCCGGCTCTCGAATCGTAAACGTTGCAGCCTGACCGGGTTTCCAAATCTCGTGAAGCTCGGCACAATGCCAATGTCTGCGACAGCTGAAGCGAAATATATAAAACGATTATTATTTGCTAATTGCTAGGATCGGAAATTTTAAAAAGAACGATTTCGTGAAGCAATCGTGTTATTTAGACGAAGTCTAAAACTGTTTCATTTATTACATTGATATAGCGATACATTTAACACAGTGTTTTAGTTTTCTGGCAGCTCTTTTAACAAGTTTTCTTTTATAAATGTGTTATATTCGATACTGACACGGCAAAGAGTGAAATGTCTTCTCAATCCGTAAAGGTGCCACCGAAGGAATGACACTCGCGTCAGACTGACATTTAAGAGACGGTCTATAATGGTTTTCTCCTCTTGCGTAATCAAAATGACTTATTATGTGTTACATACATAAATCTATATGTTAAGTAATGGAATCCTTCACGTGCAGCACGTCACCTTGAATGCTTCGACGATTTTTTTCGTAGAAAAATATAACGATACAATCGATTGACACTCCCATAATTACCTGAATAACCAATGGGTAATTCTCCTCTTCGTTCAATACTGCATGAGAACTGATGAATGGACGTTCGTCTATCGTGACGTGTTTACGTAATCATCAGCATACGTTCTCTACGTCGGAAGATATGATGTTATTCAATCTTTTTTTCGGTTCCCTGTTATTGTTTCCTTAATCTGAAGAGAAATCGTATAAATTTGCCGTCTGCACTTTATGCTCGCGTGATAACGTCTGTCATGTAAACGTGACTGCAACAAATCGATAAATATGAAGTCGAAGTAAATTCAGGGATCGACGAATTAAATCTGAGTACAGTCAACAATCGAATTGCGGTTTGCCAATTCCGCAGCAACAACAATGCCGAGCGTATGTACACCCAGAGCGACATGTGCGCCGTGCAGGCGTCTACGTCGCGTACAACACGCACGAGGAGACCTTTTCACTGGAACTCGTCGAGGGCCACTCTAAACAAAGCCGCCGGCAATGCTACGTAACGTTGCACGTATATACAGTCGACAATACATGATCGCAATCGATTCACAAAATAAGTCATCGAGGACGCAACTGCATAGTAAACTCTATCTGATATATTTCTTGTATGATAAACATTCGATGTTATTTGAGGAGTACGCGAGCCGGTCATTGTTCGATCTTCTCTTTTCAATCGGCAGAACTTTGGCAGAAAATTAAATTTTTAATTTTAAATTCGATTATTAATTCAGAATCACAAAGCCTCCAGAGACTAGCTTCACTATACGTTACACCTGTCTCGAATAACACACGTGAGCGGTCGCCATGTTCCATCGCACAATACACTCGAATAAATTGTACCGCGACGAATAAGTTGAAGAATAAAAAAGAAAGATGAGAGAGAGAGAGAGAGAGAATGTCGCGGTTCACTTTGTGAAAAAAAAGAAGTATCGCGATAACGTGATGCGGATATTCCGGTAGTATGGCCTCAATATATGGCTTCGGTAACTTTCTTCCGACCGCTACTTTTTTTTGTGTTCGCCCCGACTGACTGACCGCCATGTCTCGGTCACTCACACCACGAAGAAAGTTCTCCACCGCAAAATCGAACTCGAATGAAGAAGAGGAAACGCGCTCTGCCGTGCAAGCAGGAGCATGTGACAATCCGCTCGCATCGAGGACCGAGGAGAGACTCTATAAGGTGGTTTCCATCCCCCAATAGCGCGGCTGGCGCGCTGGCGGTCCCGACGCTGCAATCATTCCCCGGTAATGATTGTCATTACCGGGCACGGGAGGGCGAGCGAGAGCGGGTGGACGACGAACGGAGCAGAGGGATTGGCCTGCATTGCGATTGCGTTTCTGTCTGGTCCCATTGGCCGACAAACTGCGACTACGGACGCGTCTGTCCCTCAACATGCGGCGATCCCGCACCGGGTGGTGGAGGCTAAGTAATATTCCCCTTTTTTGGGTGATCTTTATTTGATAGGAATCGACCGTAATCGCGGGCTTCGATTGTTGCGAGCCCGCAAGTGCTTTCAAGGAGGGGCTTGGGTCGATGAAGATTGTGTTTATCGATTTTTGCTGCTCGCAAGGAGAAGAGCAGAGGAGAGCTCCAGCTGCATTTTTTGCAGCCCGTAAGCGGTAGATTTTGATTAAAGAGTCGAGATATGAGAAGCTGCATCAAAGTGTTATCAATGCAACTCTTTACAAGAAGATAAAAACGTATTAAGTTTCTGTTATAAATATAAATGCATACTGCAATTGTTCAGACAATATTTTCCAAATTAATTTGAATATCTTGTCAAAAACTTATTAATAGATTTTTTATAATTTTGACGTATATTTTCAAATATATATAATATTGAAATACTAAAAAATTATAATAAATTGTAAATATTATTGCAAGCTTACTAACGATTATATAATTTTTACAACAGCAATACAAAATTCATGTAAACGCAATTGTGACACCTAGAGAAACGTGCCACTCTCTAAGCGAAAGCAACCCTCATCCGCATCTCGACCCGCGCCCATTCATTACTACATCTGTAGCACTCACGCGTGGCCATTGAGCGGAATGCAAGTAGCAAATTAACCTGAGATGCCCGGCTAACTTTTCTGAATGGAAGATTACTGGCTCGTGCGTTCACAGAATCGTTCAGTGTCTACCGTAATGTCCGCCTCGCGTTACATCGGCTTTTTCTACGTCGATAATGAATGTGTGATTTAGCGACCTACAACGATTTATTCTGAAGTCCTTTCCCACGATAGATGATCTTCAATGCACTGTAAAAAATGACCATTTATATTTTTATTAGACATTTTTTATCAATCGCAATAACATTCTTTATAAAATCTTTTTAATTTTATGTAAATACTATAGTTTATGGAAATATGTTTGATATTTTTTAAAGTTTATGTAACTTTAGTATTTTTAAAAATATATGCACTTTACTATATTTTTTAAATGTCCCTACAATTTTGTACTAATGATATATGTATACGTATAACAAATTTTTCAAGTATTTTTTGTAATAATAATTGCTAGTTACAATTGTAAACTGTGTAATTAATAGATTTACTGAATCAAATGTTATCGACCCGACGAATCGATTGTGCGAAATTTAAAATGTCGACAGAAAGACTGAAAGTCGACCCAAGGGTGGAAAGCGCGGCGCGGCGGTGGACAGGAGGACACATCAAAGCAACAGATATCATAGAAGGGGCCTTTCATGGCAGCCATTATCACATTACTTCCGCATGGCCGAACGTCATTTACCTCACACCCCCGCGATGATTTGAGGGCAACCGAACCACCGACTCAACCCCTCGCACGCTTGTGGACTGTTGCAACCATTATATTACAGCAGCATTGGTCTGTTGCCAAGTTCGCTGTTGGATTAACCAACACTACAATTTCTAAATACTCTATCCAAAATCAACATATCATTTAGGTGCAAAACATAACAAAGTAACAAATTATTTATAGAGAGTTAATTAATTGTTCTATAAATATATATAAAATAATATTTGGCATAGAATTTAACTCTTTAAAATTCCTAATTTCTTCATTTTTAATAGTGTAAATGTCCATCGGTAACCCATGTAAACAAATAAAAAAGCGAATTAACTTAAAATACTATTGCGACACGTAATAATCTGTGCAAGACACGTAGGGTTAATTTTCTATCGCAATATTTTATATTTCTCATCGTCTTAAAAGCGCAGCGTCGTCCGCATCGCATCTCCGCAAAGTACGCGGTGCACTTTCGAGGCAAGGTGGAAAATCGGTTCGCGTCGTCCCTTAAAATTCACGCGGAGGAAAATCGGCCGAACGATCTCACGCTCGATTATCTCCGCGGGAGACATTATCAAGCCATTAGGGACCGCCGTCAGGCTCACCGATGACGCTCTACTCGTTGCACTACCGACTCGTCATCGGATTCAAAATTCCAGCATGGGCGGGCGCGACGAAATGGCTCGTCTCCCCCCTTCAGAGAGTCTCCTTTCCACCTCATTCCCATCCTCCTCTCTTCCGCCATCGCGACTCGCACCTCCTCGCGCGCGACGACCGCATTAAGCACTTCGCAACGACAATTTACGATACATTTGTCGGAGGCGCGGTCGCATCACCCCGCGAAAAGTTTCCCGAAGGAGGATGGTGAATTTTTCCGCTGATGCCGTCGCGACATATCTCATATTCGCGATGTTCGCTTAATATCTTTATTTTTTATTCATACAGATGGTATGTATTTCTTTTAATAAAAAGAGATGTTATTTGCTGCGCAAGAAAGACAATAGATTAACAGATGTATACTACATTAATTTTGAGAAGCGTATGTACGCCACAGTGATTTTAGATACAGTTACAAGTTTATGAATAATCAATTGTACATTAAAAATATAACTGATTAAATCGATTATCTCGTATTCTTAAAAGCGTTATTAATTAATTTATTTATTAGTTAATATGTTTATAATTCACAAGCCAATAATTCAAGTAATAGATTGAAACATTTGAATTCTTTTATTCGAGTGTTTTAAATTAGAGACCATCCTTATGTAGATACACATGATTAGGATTCAAGATTGAGTGTTCATAGCTTGTAACAACAGACGATAATTAAGTCTATCCTCAAAAAGCAGCTATCTACGCTCGGATTATAAAGCCGCTTTCCACGTGCGCGGCCGAGTAGGAACCCGCGAAAGTTGTAACTCGAGCAACGAATACGCTCGTGGATTGTTAATTAGGAGGCCCAAGTTTGCGAGGTAATCAAGAATCGCATTTCACCGGTGTACCCCGATGTGCCGCGCACGAAGTCGATTCATCAGCGGGGCGAACGGTTGTCATGGGGATGCGACCCGCCCTTTTACGCTAGCCCCATGCAAACCTGCGCGTTTCTCGAAAACCGTTTCCCCTCACCTTTCGAATACACGCGAGAACGCAGTTCCTTTAGATATATGGCCACGAAATCTCTCTTCGCGCCGTTTACTCCCGTAATTGCTATTTCAGGACGAATATTACTCGCTATTTAAAAATAGTAAATGTCACGGATATACTTATATATTTAAAGGACATGACGACAGTTTTATGTCCTTTATCAGATTCTTCAATAATATTTAAAAATGCTGCTGGTATACAATATAATAACCATAAGTATAATTACCACGTATCATCTTATAATAAGTATTGTAAGTATAATTATCACATACAAATGGGAAGTGAAAGCATTATCTGACATGTTATTTTTCTCCACTGAAAAATTGATATAGATATAAATTATTACGATATACACTAAAGTTTTTTTTACAATTGTGAGACATCTTTTTCTCACGAGGAACATCAAAATAGCGTAGAATTTCCAATTACGCGAAACAAAGGCGATTCAACTGGAACAACACGAGAGAAGAACAAAAAATAGCTTCATCATACCGCGGCATCTCGAGCAGCCCACCAGAAGAGACTTAAAAGCCTCCTTGGCACATTTAAGGACTCGTAATAATCTTCCACAGCGCCTCGGACGGTCACGGGGAAGAATCGTTTATCGGACGCAACGATCTCGTTCGCACGAGGATTTTCCAAGATATCAATCTCTTGTCGAGTTAATCCATACTTTAAACGGATTATACATTCGCTAAAGTCATTGCTATATATTGACGGTTTTATTTTGGGTTTTCTTTTTTTCGCACGCTTAACTTATTTTTGTGCGACTCGGGTCTGTATTACGGTCAAGCGTGCTTCAATTATTTTAAACTATTATAACAAATCAACGGTGGCCGATCTAATTTACTGTCGCTTTAACAAGCAATCATCCGATTAGAAAGATACCTACGACGATGTATTTTCTCTCATCCGCTAAGTATAATTGTATGGCAAACGAATACACTCGTAAAATTAATCGCTTCCGGCATCGGACAAGTCTACAGGGACTCCCGTTTTGGCATTGAGCGATGAAGATCCGCACCTCGCCTACGTTCAGACCGTGTCACTAATTTCGATCTTCTTTTCTATTCTGACTTTGTGCGGTGCTCCCACGATTACTCTTTAAAATGGCACTCCTTAAAAGGATAAGATATGCATTACGTCCTTCCTATTTAAGCCATCACGTGTCTTTTCGCAAAACTGCTACTCGTTATAAAAATAAACTTCATTTATCTAATAGACAATGGATAAATATATAATGAAAATTTATAAAAATATTGAAAATAATCTGAAATCAAATTATTCGAATGAGAAAAAAAATTGACGAACATGGCTTAGAATACATTTAATTCAGCGCCAAAGGATTAATATACTGTAGTGCATCTTCTGCCTGTCGTCACATTGTGAGTCATGAGTTACATCGTTCAAGTTACATTGTACCGCTTTCTTTTCTTCGGAATTACGGGGCGAGGCCAATGTTGCTTCGCTGGTCGACTCAATACCGCCTGAACCACCAAGATGAGAAGAGCCCCCTGCTGTGTGTTGTCGGCTACCCGGCTACCTGCCGTCCTCTCTTGAGGTCCGCCTAAGGCTTCGCATTCATCATCGCGGATCACCTCCGGTGACACACGATGTATCGAGATTAACGCGGCGTCCGCGTCCGGCAGCTCCTTCTTACGCTTATCGAAATTCCAGCGCAACACAGTTACTGCACGTCCTCCGTGTTCTTTATCTCTCTCTCTTTTACATTAACACGGGATTAATT